CTGAGGGAACCGCCAGCTGTAGATAGAAACAAAATTTGGATGGAAGTGAGACTTTAAAGATTACAAACAGATCCTAATGGCCATGCACCTATGTGGAATCTTATTCTGAATTCTCTGAAGAATACGACAATTTTCCTATACAATGTTTGACACTGAAGGCACCGCTTTCGCTTGAATGACTGACTTATTCAACAATTTTGCCGGTCCCCTCCAACAAAGGCATGACTCTGATCTATAATACAGCCCTGAAGAGTAACTTATTATGTACAAAAATTGCAACTTTACGTAGGGGTAGTATTATATATACATCCTGCCTGTGTTTTTTTTTTCGGACACGATAGACCTATTTCTACTCTATACTATGTGGAGGGGGGTTGACCCTATGGGATCAAGGGAGGATCCGGAGGGGGGGGGGAACTGAGCCACCACCGGTCCAGATGGATGCCTAGGCACCCGTTGGTGAAACATTTCAGGAAGCCTTGAATTTTTAGAATGCAGACCAAGGGATTCGATCTCTTGACCTACACCCAAGTAGAGTCTTAAGGCTCTCTTGGTGGCCAGCTACTTTAAGGGTAGTTGGTTACATCCTGCCTACATACTGGACATGACCCATGTATAACAAGCCACTTGTCCACGCAAGCCAAGTGGAACATATGCCGGCATTGTGGCAAGGTCCTTGCAGTATCCCCGACACCAACATCCTACAAACATCATATACTTCATGATTAGTGAACAAGAAGATAATGATCAATTAGAAATCTTTCTGAAGTAAATGGGGACCTGCAAACATATAGAGCAGCATGCCTCTTGTTCTGCCTTCATTTCATCCAACAATACAAGGCATGGTAGCTTCTTGAGTGAATCTTCAGACAAGCCTGATGATGCAACTACACTAGGACCAGCTCTACTCTCACCATAGCTTGTATTAGGACGGTTTACCTGCTGATCGGTTAGATTCCAATAGTACAGTTCAAAAGTTACCCAAATCACAAACGTGAGTGCAAGTAATAACTATCTAATGGATTTCAAAGGGAAAGAGTTGATAATGAAAGTTCAGTTAAGTTGGAGATCATCACTATTGTTACAGATACACAAATAAAATACTACAAGGTTAGGTACTCTTTTAAGAGCCATTAGGCTGAATCTTGCACTGCAGCAAGGAGGGTATAGGAAGGCAATGACAAGATAATTGAAAAGCTGAAAAACAAATTTTAGGCTCTTAAAGCAAACTCCCAAACAAGCATTTGGGATGAAAATTCCTTCTAGTCGTTTTGTGCATGGAAGTGTGGAGGAAGCTCTCATTATTGCATTGGAGATAGAAAATAGTCTCTTTGGACAGTGAAATATTGAAACTTTAAGATGCACTAGAAGAAACTGTTACTCTGCGAATGAGTTAAATTAGAAAAACCATGCTGAAATAGAGTAACACCTGCAATTGATGACTTCTAGGAGTCGCTGGTGGAAGCTGTTCGATCTGCTGGTTAACAAATATAGTGTCAAAAAGCTCTTGCAAGAAATTGGCCTGATAACAAACATATGAATTAGGCAGAAAATCAAATTTCATGCACCCATAAACTGATAAAAATGCTTACTTTCTCAAATTGAACAATTCAACTCAGTGCATAAAACAATAAATAAACTAGCAAGAGTGAGAAGATAAAAAACACATACAACTAAAAATAAACATGCTGACCATAGATGATGAGCTACTTGAACCAGGGCACTCTGAACACCAATAAGTACGAAGAGCATCCAAGAACTGCACAGAGATAGTAGCCCCAGCTATGGCAACCATAGCAACGCCACGAAGTATACCAGTATTTGAAACCCAACCAGCAATTCCCCCAGCGACACCTCCAGTAAACGCCCCAGCTACAATTTGACAATGAATACAGTTTTTGTTAAAGGCAGAAATTACACAACTAACAGCCCTTGACACAATGTTTGGCGCATTGCCTTGTCCCCAATGTCAAACATGGTGACTAAAACATACACAAAGAGTAGAAATCTGTATGCCATCATGGCAAGGGATGCAGTGATGTACCATTTACACAACAATGACAATTTTTAAGAGAATGTCAGCTCACATGAATAACGCTTTGCAATGCAACATTAGGGTGCTTCTCATACATAAATGTCAGTAAATTCATGTAAGATAAAATTTTCTTGTCACTGACATCTTAATTACAATCTAGGTGAGCACAACATCAACCTGGAAGGCAAGTAAAATATATTGAGTCAAGTTGAGAAATGAGGCAGTAACAGTATAAAGGAGCTATAGCAGGTTCACTCAGACCAATTCCAAATGTCTGCCCAGCCAGAGAACTTGCAAAGCTCTCTCTTAAGGGGGTGCAAAACGAGACTAATAAAGATGAACACCATGCTGCTCAAGCTTGCCTTTGATCTTTGTAGCTATAGCCTAAATTTGTGTTTGAGCATGGTTTTGAATATTACTCGGCTCAAACTCAAACAAACTTATCAAGCCAAGCTCAAACAGGCCGCTAGTTTAAATTTGTGCTTGAGCATTGGCCAACATACTACTCGAGCTGAAATCAGACAAGCTTATCAAGCCAAGCTCAAAAAGACCTCAAGTGGCTTAACTTACATACTGTATTACTTATGAAGCCAAGCTTGAGCCAAACTTGAAACTCAACAACATTTACTCTTAACTTGGCCTTTGAATTAGTTAGCTGGCGAACCAATCTCGTTTTAGCTCTTAACAAGCCTGATAGCTAGTATCGAGTAACATAGTTCATCTTTTAAAGTTCTTCTTTAAACCTTGTCTCTCCAAATTAAAATGGGCTTATCTAATGGTGCTCGTTCACGTGGGTTTCAGGTATTAGTTCGAAGCTAAATCAGTTCAGTGCCTGCTAGCAAGGAGGCAATACATGCGAATATGTGCATTTACATATTAAGTTTGCTGTAAATTATGTATACTAATGAATCTCCAAGGAAAATCCAATTAAAATATGCCTATAAATTATTTTTTTCGTGTACAAATCGTTCTATTTTTTCAGCAGAGTAATTGAAAAACAGCAACATTGGCTTATAGAAATTAAAAGAAAAGGGAAACCAAAGGAATTAATACTCAAATTAGTAGAAGTAATTACCAACTGCAAAGAGTATGGTGAGAGCAGTGAAGATTGCTGTAGCCATCAACCTCACTAAATAACAGGAAGCAATCATTAATCCTGTGTCTTTCTTCCTCCTACTCCTGCTCCTAGCATGGCCAGATGACAAGCAAGCTTGCCCATGAGAAGAAGAAGGCCAAGTTTCATCATGGCCCAACGCCATACTGCAGAATCTATACAGTCCACTTCCTCTGATGAATGCAGGAATTGTTTTGTTTATTTTTTGGTGGTAAGTTTTAAACTGGCTTCAAGAATCAAGAAAATGAATCGGTAGTGAAATCATAATTCATATAGAGGCTGGGAATTAAGGAAAGAGTGAAAAGACGTGAAAAACTAAGCAAAGACTGGAGAGCGACTTCTTCGGAAAGCGACCGCCGGGCCCAGAGGAGGAGTGGAAGGAGATATTGATAATGAATATTGAGGTAATAGACTAATACCTCCTTTTGTCTTTGTAGTTTTTAACTCTTGATTTAGTGACATGAACTTCAAGTATTGTTTGGATTAGAACAAAGTTTAGTCCATCATTGGGTGGGGTGGCTTATCAAAAACCATTTCAATCAGTAGACTTTTTGATCAAAATACTTATAAGAGTGCTTAATCATATTGTTTGAGTGCATACTTGCATAAATATTCTTTTTATTTGAGAATGTGCAATTTTGAATTTTTAAAAGATATTTATTTCTTCATTTAGTTCAAAATTTGTAAATAAAATTGTTAAAACTAATTTAACAAACAAAAGTTACATTAAAAGTACCAATTTTGAGCTTATATCAAAAGTGTTTTAATGGCTAAAAGCTCTACTTCTAAATTGAAGGAATGATACTCACCAAACACAGTAAACGAACTTTTATCCTTCAAAAATATTTTTTAAACAAAAACACCCCTAAACGGGACCTTAGTCTACTTTGATTTTTTCAGTTACATGAATGTCTATTTTATATTTATCGTGCAATGTTCCATTGAATAGTATGAAAACACAAATGATTGGTTTTATTAGTTATTTATTTAGAGTTATAATGAAACGTTTTATCAACTATAGTTTATTTAGAATTCTAGCAAAACGTCTTGTCAACTGGAGTTTAATTCAACTCCATAGAGGTGACACTGTGCAATATATATATATATATGTATATATATGTGTGTGTGCGCGTGCACGGGGGTAATTTTCTCAAACCATTGGGGGTGGGGTGGAAAATGATCAGAATTAAACATGTATCCTAACACGACAAGTACTCCATGTATGTGCCATTTGATTCCTCATTAGATATGTCTTGAATTGATGGATTCCAGAATTGACCTTTTCTTTTTTAAATCAGCGGGAGAGGGGAGGGATGGAATTCAGTATTGAATTATGATTTTCATGCTGCTCAAGTAGTGAATGCCCAAGAGTTTACCATGTATTCAAATGTAAATAGCAAACCCTTTTATGGTATACTGGATATTTGCAGGCAAATCAGTTGTAAGATCAACCCAATGTGAGACCTCCTTATTTCCAAATTCAGTTCGAACGAGGCATCAGATAACAGGGTTGATAATCCACGAGAATCCACCAAAGTATGAGTCATTTGTAGAGTAGATGGTTCGCAAAAAAGAGTTGGAAACAAAACTTGCATAAAAATGGATCAAAATAATTACAAGGGAGAAGGCCAAAATTAGAAGGAAATACTAACAACAATGTTGCTTGTACTGGAAAGTACAGATAAACAAGTCGTGTTAAACTGTGCTCGCAGTTTGCTTGCCTTGTAGGTCTGGGTGTCCAGTCCTTCGAAGTCAAGCAACTTGAGAACTTCACATTACGCAACTCCTCAACTTTATTCTTGAAGTTATTAAAATTTTGTAGTCTTGCCAAATAGAATATTCAAGCAATCCTTTTCCCCAATTACAAGTTTCTCCTTGGGATTGCTTATTTACGCAACAAGAACATGCCAAGGAAGACCTTTTCAACCGCATCCTATAATCAAGCGAGTTAATAGTTTTCCTTTACATCAAGTATTCAGTCAAAGTAGAAAACTGGGAAGCGTAGCTGTAAGTTCTCATGTTTCCAATCAAATGATCAAGAACACTGTAAATATCACTTGCCAAAGGATGATGATCATCAGCGCTAACGAACTCATAAATGCAACTTCCCACCTCAATTGTGCTGTGGCCAGGGGTCCTCCTCTGCTTTATTTCATCTCTGACCTTCAACTTTTCATTCCACATTTCTTTTGCAGCATATATATTGGACATAAGAACATCGTCGCCAACAACGCTTTCCTCCAGTTGAAGCAGCTTATTGTAAGCTTCTGCAGCAAGGTCTAGATTGCCATGAATGGTACATGCACCTAGCAATGTCCTCCATATGATCGCGTTTGGTTCAACTAGCATTGCCAAGATAAACTCGTTAGCATCTTTTAGCATCCCTTTTCGACAAAAGAGATCAACCATGCAGCCATAATGAGGAAGTCTAGGCTTCAAACCAAACTCCTCAGTCATAATTCTGAAGTACTTTTTCCCCTCTTCTAACATGCCTGCATGGCTACAAGCCATTAAGACTCCTACGAAAGTAACATCGTTAGGGATAATCAAATGAGCTTTATGACTGCACTTTTTATTGGTCATACTTTTGCTTTCTTTTTCCATGGCCGCGTAAAGCCTTAACGCGTCCTCTGCTTGGCCGTGTACTGCATATCCCACAATCATGGATGTCCAAGATGTAACATCCTTTCTTTTCAGGTTATCAAACAATTCCTTGGCTCTTCCAATATCCCCACATTTTACATACATGTTAATGAGGGCATTTTTCAGGTATAAATCTGCATTTAACTCGCTTTTTTGAGTGATGTAACCATGAATCCACTCTCCCATCTCCAATGCCCCAAGATCAGCACAAGCCGATAAAGCAACCGTCAGTGTAACATGATCAGGCTTCACATTTTCCTTTTGCATCCGCCTGAACATCTCTAAAGCTGCATTTGCTTCCTGGTTATCAACATAAGCAGAAACCAATGAAGTCCAACAAATTACGTTTCTAGTTGGCATTTCTTCAAACATCCGACGCGCATCAGCAAGATTTCCAGCTGCAGAATACATGTTTACGAGAGATGTTTGCAGGAAAATGATGGGTTCGTAGCCTAGTTTCAGTACAAGAGTATGAACTTGTTTTCCTTCAATGGCTCCGGCTTTTTTGGTGCAAGCTTTGATTGCATACAGAAGAGAGTAGCTATCAAGCAGGGAGGTATTTCTCCTGAGCAAGTCAGAAAATAGCAAGAAAGTCTTGGAGGGATTGGACTTAAGGTAACTTTGAAGGGCGTTATTGGGTCTTTTTGAGCTGAGATTATTTTGAAGTTCGACATGGCTTATACTCGCAAATGATTTGGCTACCCTTTTCTCTATACAAGGGTTCAAGAATCTTAACATCTGATCATGTATGTATAGTATGTGGCGATTACTGGCTGAGGTAGGGTTTCTAGCATAGAAATGGAAACCGTAAATTGGTAAACCACCGGTAATAGCACCAATATGAACTGAAATAGCTCTTCAGTAAATTATAATGTGTCAAACATGTTTTTGAATTTAAGCACTTTGATCCATCAGTAGGATAACAAGCAGGAATGTTGCCCTTATATTATATATTCTACTACTAAAAAGACGGACTGCTGGTTACAAATGACTAATTCCTCTATCTTTCTAGACACAGACAAAAGTTTATGGTCCGAATATACACGAGTGACGAACTCTTGTTTATTCTTGATAGATCTCTGAACAAGTTTCCTTCAGTCAAAAAGCTTGAACCACTTCTCTACACAGTGAATTATGTTAGCAGCGCCAGTTTGTCCAGTCCAGACTGAAACTCACACGAACATTAAGGATAAAGTACTCACTTTCCTGTGTCCAGCTGATCTAGCCAATATCATCACTTATCTCGACTACCGGCAAAAGGAGCTCCTCCTTTTCCTATTCTCTCGTTGCAAAACAATAATCACGCCATGTTCGTCTTTGTTGTCAATCATGTATATGCTATTGAATTGCAAACTTTCAAAATACTGCATTAAGCCACAGAGGACAGGAAGCATCACACTGGTCTGCTCTTTCTTGTCATGGAAACCTTACCCGATGATTTGACATCCCCTAACAAGGGTAAACACGGATTTATGTTACTTCAAGTGACCATCACAATGGTTTAATCGAATCTCCAGTTAATCATGGATTGCTTTTGGACCATGACAATTGACAAGCCTCTTGCTAAGATCTGTTAATCACACATTGATGGACTGCCTCAGCATATTATCTTTCTTCAAAGAGTCTATATAAGGATTGACAAGACTTAAATTTTCTAAATCTTCGTGACATTTGAGAGCTGAACTTTGACATCCAATTTCTTGATAACCCTTATTTAAGAGCTTATACATGGTAGCATTTGGTATAGTGCCCATCTTCGTCATATCAGCATGGAGCATCATTGCTTCAAGCACATGCCCATCTCCAAAATGCCGTTGGAGGATGGTAGAGTAAGTAACAATGTCTGGTTTTAGACCCTCTCGCCGCATATCTGAGAAAAACTTGCTAGCTTTGAACAAGTATCCCTCTTTGCATAAACCATGAACTAGAGCAGAATACATAACAGTGTTAGGGGAGCAACATTCAGTATCTATGTGATTTGCTTTAGCGCCAGAAGATCCAGCCCTTTTTCTGTCCAAGAAAAGTTTCATTGCATCCTTGAGCTTTCCGTCATCGCACAGTCCTCTAATTAGGCAGCTAAGAGTAAAAACATTAGGACATATACCAGCTTCAGTCATATCCTTGTATAGCCGAAGAGCTGCTTTTGAATTTGCATCTTTGAAATGCCCATCAATCAAGGACGTATACGTGACAACATCAGGAACAAAGCCTTTGATCACCATCTCATTATACAACCCCATGGCAGCCTCCATATTCCCTATTTTGCAGTAACCATCTATCAAGGTAGAGAAGGTAATAAGGCTAGGCTCTACTCCCGTTTCTGTCATTTGAGAGCAGACTTCCAAAGCCTTCCCCAAATTCCCTTCCTTACAGTACCCATCTACTAGAGTACCATAAACCACGGAATTAGCATGGACCCCTCTGTGCTTCATTATCTTTAATAACCCATCTGCTTCTTCCATTCTATGCATACTACAGTAGCACTTCATAAGTATACCATATGTATAAACATCAGGGGAAATACCAAATTTTTCCATCTCATAATAATAGTCTAGTGCAGCAGATAGGTTGCACACTCTATAATTGCCGTCAATCAGGCAATTATATATGAAAACATTGGGAACCACACCAAACTTCACCATGCAGACAAAATAGTTCCTTGCTGTTTGTAACTGTCCTACCCTGTAAAGCACATCAATGATGATGCAAAATGTGATCACATTTGGAAGCAGATTCTGATCCAACATTTCTTGATAAAACCAAAGGACCTTTTCTACACTTGCCTCCTTACCATACCCATCCATGAGAGTATTATAGGTGTACAAATTAGGAAGCACACCAATCTCCCTCATTCTCTTAAACACGCTTTCTGCTTCCACCATCTCACTCTCACTACACAAACCACGTATTAGCGTTGTGTAAATCACAACAGTGGGTACAATCCCCTTGCCAACCATCTCATCCATTAGCATTTTCGCCTTAGCAAGATCACCTTGACTACAAGCAGCATCAATTAGCACACCATAAGTGACCACACTCGGCACACCACCATGTGAGACCATATCCTTGTAAACATCCCACATCAATTCAAATTGTTCCTTCTTACAAAACCCATCCAAAAGTGCATTACAAGCCTGTATCGCAGGCAAACTCCTGATCTTCCGGTACACCCAATAGGCCTCATGGACATGCCCCAATTCACACAACGCAAGAATCAACACACCATACACCTTAGGACTAGATATTACACTCTCTAACTGACTAAATCCATTAAAAACTGCAGAACAAGCCCTGTGTGGCTTTCGGGATTTTCCTAAATGTTCAATCAGGCCTTTTATCAAACACCTGGCATCTATATACTTTTTCGAATTGGTCAAAAAACAAATGAGGGCTGAATGTACTTTGAAATTCTTCGAAGCGTCCAGTTTATTCGATGCTGAGTTGAATATTCGAAGAGCTTGGCTTGGGGTTCTGGAGTTGACAATTGAGGTGATCAGATTCGTAATAAATGAAGAAGAAGAGGAATGAGAGACAGATGAAAACGTTGAAAATCCTGGTGGGTTGATTCTTTTTTGTGGGATAAAAAGCTTCAACATTTCTTAGAGGATGTGAGGAATTGGAAGATTTTGCCATGAATTGGTTAAAGAATTTGCATTTTGGGTTTAACGATTTTTTTTTTCTTTTGAATGAAGAAAAGTCCCGGGAAATCGGACAGTTGAGTCTCGCGGCAATTTTAACGTCAATCCATAAGATTTTAGAATTTGAGAGAAAAAAAGAAGAAGAGGAATTTAATTCTCCTTTTGTCTAACATTTTAAATCATTCTCGAATAATTTTGTCATAAGAGTTGTAGTCAATCTATGTACATATGATTCTTGTATGAATTAGATAAAATATTTTATAAACATGTTGGAAGAGATTAAAATAAGGATTAATCTTTTCTAACACAGTTTAAACTATTTGGATGAATGATAATTATGCAAAATTTAAATTTAAAATTTAACTTTTGCATATATATTATGAATCCAACGGTAATAGTATATATGTATATAAGATTTACTCTTAAAATAATTAGAATACTGTGATTTAACGATTTGATTGACCAATTGAAGTACACATTTGGTACAACTAAATACCTAATTAACCTATGAATTGGCTAATGATGAAGCAAAATGGCGCCACACTTTCTAAATTAGGATCATATCAATTTACTTGTAGTTTTTACAGTAAATTCATTTTATTAATAGGTTGCTTCATAATACATTAGAAAACCCTATATAGGAACGTGCAATTAATTACAACTCACATATTAATTTTATAAAGTAACATTGCATGCCCATTCTCTATCAATTTCATATATAGAATCATCCGTTAGAGTTGCAAGTTTTTATTTTTAATTTGTTGATGGCAAAGGAAAAAGACAAAGTTTCCCATTGTAAAGAATTCTCAAATTCAACATTAGACAATAAATTGATCTAGATTCGCCTACAAAAGTACATTTTGTTACATAATGGAATATCAATTTATTTTGTATAGATTTTTGTTACGCAATGGAGTTGAAGACAAGAAGCTGCCCTCTTAATTGGACAAGTAACCAGTACAATTGTATTTTGTGCAGTTTCATCCAATTCTTGTATATGTTTAAATTTTTAGTATTACAAATACAATATAATATTATATTAAATATATATTAAATACTTTATTTATGTACACTAATTTTATTTCGAATACAATAATGTAAGGTAATTGTATACTTTTTTTTTGTCACAACATAAAATTTGTATAATCTACTCTAACCTAGTCTACGGGGAGAGGGAGTCGAGGGGAACCCCGTCGGAGGAAGCCACTTGAAGTGACAGATACAATTAAGTATCATATTAAAATCTTGGTGGTGACCAAACAGCCCAAGAGGCTGTTGAAGGTAATTGTACACCAGATAATATAAAAAATACAACAATCAAATCGAATCCCTTAACCTCCCATCCACATTAAAGTCTTGATAGTGACCAACAGTCCAAGAGGCTGTTGAATGTAATTGTATACCAAATAACATAAAAAATACAATAATCAAATCGAATCGTACCAGGTCCCAATTGCATTGGCCCTCTCTCCTCTTAATTGGAGTAAAACTTTTCTTCCAAAAAAAACTATTTTATATCCCAAAAGTATATGGAAAATTTTAAAAATGGAGAGTTTTTTTTAAGCAAAAAAAAAAAAAAAAAATGAAGAGCGTCAATACAAAGTTTATAAGGATGGTGTAACACTTTTGCAATTTATGCCTTTTGTCATTAATAAACAGATATATGTCTTACTTATCAATAATTTCCCTAAAATAAAAGGGAAACAAAATAAAGTTGTCCAGTGTCCGTACTCTCTCCTCGAGTTCCAACAAACCATTTGAATGTTCGTTGAAAAATCCCTTCCCGCGGTACAAATCAATACCAGAGCCCTCCAACAACGCCTCTTTTCACTATTGCAAAATTGTAAAACCATCAAACACCTATCCCAAATCCACACTCAAGTTATCATCAATGGCTTTTCTCAGACAAACTTCATTCTTGTCAACCTATTATCCTTCTACATCACCTCTGGTAATCTCAAAAGTGCATCCGAAGTTTTTGAACAAGTCCAAAGTCCCAGCACCAATGTTTGGAACCAAATTATCAGAGGCCATGGCCGAAGCGAAAAACCCTGTAAATCGGTGGAGTTGTTCAATCTAATGGGGAAATCAGAAGCTTTGCCTGATGGGTATTCGTATTCTTATGTTATTAATGGTTGTACAAAAGGGGGCTTGTTGAGTGAAGGTCGAATGGTTCATGGGAAGGTTTGGAAACATGGGTTCTGCTCAAATGTGTTTGTTCAGACTAATTTGTTGAATTTGTACTCTTCTTGTGGAGGCGAGGATGGTGTTAGTAATGCGCAATATGTGTTTGATGAAATGGGTAAGAGAAGCATTGTGACTTGGAATTCATTGCTTTCGGGCTTTTTTAGGTGCGGGGATGTTGATGGGGCACGTCGAATATTTGATGAGATGCCGGAGAGAAATGTGGTTTCTTGGACGACCATGATTGATGGATGTTTGGGAAATGGGAGGTGTGGGCAAGCATTGGCTCTGTTTCATCAGATGCGCAGGGCCCAAGTGGAACCTGATCAGGTTACCTTGGTGGTGCTGCTCTCAGCATGTGCTGAATTGGGTGATTTAAATTTGGGGAGATGGATTCATCGGTATAGCTTTGAGATTCTGAGCGATGGAAAACAGCCAAAGCTGCTCTCATTGAACAATGCGTTGATTCATATGTATGCTAGCTGTGGTGTAACGAATGATGCTTATAGAGTATTCAAAGAGATGCCACAGAAAACAACAGTTTCTTGGACTAGTATGATCACAGGCTTTGCAAAACAGGGGTATGCAAAAGAGGCTCTTAAATTATTCCACGAAATGGATAGGTTGAGAGAAAGCAATGTTAAACCTGATGAAATGACATTCTTGGGTGTGTTGTCTGCTTGCAGCCACACTGGTCATGTTGACCAGGGATGGCGCTATTTCTGCAGTATGAGTCAAACATGGGGTGTTGAACCAAGGGTTGAACATTACGGGTGCATGGTTGATGTCTTGAGTCGAGCTGGATTATTAGATGAAGCAGTTGAGCTTGTTAGGACTATGCCTATGAAACCAAATGATGTAGTCTGGGGTGCTCTTCTTGGTGGCTGTAGGATTTATAAAAATGTGGAACTTGCTTCTCATGTGGATAAAATGTTGGACATGGAGCTTGAACCTGACAGAGCTGCAGGGTATTGCATGCTCTTGTCAGATGTATATTCTACCGCTAGAAGGTGGCAGGAAGCACATACTGTAAAACAGAAGATAGTGGAGATGGGAGTGAGAAAGCCTTCAGGTCGAAGTTGGGTTCAGATAAATGGAGTCCTTCATGATTTTGTGGTCAATGACAGAGCGCACAAGCATTCACATTTGATCTATGATATGCTTGGTTTGATAAGGAAAGAAATGAACTTGCATGGTTACTAGACGAGCACTACAGAACTCTCTTCTGGACATTATCAGAATCAGGACAATCAATAACTGACGTTGGCTTGGACTGCATTTACACAATCAGCTCTGAATTTTGAGTTGCATCTTTGTCTCACCTTGCCAATCATCAACACAATTTTTCAGAAGTTTTTGCATTTTAGGGTGACCGTGAATTCCCTATTGGGTGCTAGGAAGTTGTGTCTCCATCACCTAATTTTGCATCAAAACTTTGGAAGAGAACTTATGTGTCACCTTCAGCACCCTCATAGCAGCAAAGCTTTGACAAAACAACTATGGAATCAGTGGAGAATATAGGTGTCTAACTGCAAGGATTTTGAACTTTTAGGAACAACTGGCTGCAACTGTCCCTATTCCGAAGGTGCATAGTCTCCTTAAACCTGCCAAGACGTTCATATACTGATTGCTAAGTGAGTTGCCAAGGCTCCATGCTCTGAATATGTAAGCAGCCTACTAGGTCACGTGTATAAGCTTGTATTCAAACTTGCAACTAAACTTTATTAGGAATCCAATGTTGATATACTTTGATATAACTTGTCCTCTAACAAAAGACTACCCTTCACTGTTAAACCTTAACCTTTTCTTATTACTGTTAACCTTTTGTTTTAGTTGCTCTGGGAAATTAAGATCATTAGTTTCTTTATATACACACACACACACACACACACACACATATATATATATATATATATATATAATTCTGGAATACTATGTATAACCTGCATTTCATCTGGTAGCCAGATACAAATACTTTTTGATTTTCATTTGACTTACGTACACTAAAATTTTAATGATTAATGCATGGATATTGACAATTATAAACCTGTTGTTTCTAGGAACCAGGTGCGTGAGGAATGGAGTATCTAAGAGATATATTTCTTCCTGAATTATTTCTATAAGAGTGATTTCTAAGTTTTTAAAAGATGCCAGCAAAACTGATATTCAGGTAAGACCCATCGAATAAAGGGTCTGGGTTTTAAAATTTGGACCAAAACCATGAAAATACATGACTGGTTTTATTGGATTTGAGTGAGACCCTAACAATTAATATTCCCAAGTGTACCCGTGCTTTGCGACAATCTCGTGGATAATGAAATTGTCTATTGCTGTAGTTTTGCCTGAAAGATATTGACATTGTTGTACGCTTTAATTTCTTGCTTCTTGTAAGTGTTTACTTCTCATTTTCACTAGCTGAACGTGCATAATACATAGAAAGAGATGTTTAAACTCTTTTCGTTTAGCAAAATAAAATAAGCAACACTTGTTGCTCAAATTCGATGCGTTAATTTTAAAGATGTGTTTGAGTTCGTTCAATAATAAAGTGAACAAAACTAGTTGCTCAACTTTGGTATGCCAATTTTAAATTTGTGTTTGAACTCGAGTTTGAATTCGGCTCGTTCAAATTTAAGAACCGCTCGAATTCAAGTTTGAGCTCAATTCGTCAAATTTGAGACGTTGCATAGGATTAATATAAGAAATTTACAATAATACAAATAATTATGCTAAGCGTCCAAATCTTATGAGGTGAAGCTTCTTGTTTTTAAGTTCTTCTTTTTAATACAAATAGAATACCATTACTCTAACTTTGATAGATCCAGTCAAATTGATGCATACTTAAATCTTTTTACACGTATCAAATGATTGATGTTTTATTTGATTGTTTGTGAAACATGACCAACCTCTACTCGTTTATTAAACAAATTTTGTTATTATTATTTAAAGATTTCCCATAGTGATCTCTCAGCCAATCAATAGGAGAGTTGAATTTACTACTAGTAACAATTGCCTGAACATTATTGTCATTCATTTCATTTGTTATACATCTGCAAAAGAGACTAAGCTGCAGATGCTGAAACAATACCCTAATCAATTTCCGTGCCAACTCTAAGGTCCACACTCCACAGCAAACAAAAGTGGCCAATAGGATTCAAAATACAAATTTGATAGCACCTATACTTTCCCTCTCCCGAAGGATGTTTGAAAGCTATTGAGCGGGGAGAATGATGACTTGATTAAAGTTCGAGGGGAAGTATGGATATTTGCAGTAATAGAAATAACCTCTCATTGGTTGTGACATGCTTTCTTGATGGTTGCGTAAACCGCTTTGTTTGGATTGAGTTTTATTTTCCTAAATTTATTTGCTTACATCATCATTACAATTTCCAATACACCTTTTTACCTTCCCAATTACCTTTTTATCTCACATACATCACATCACAAAAAGTGCTACAGTAAAAATATCTCTAATAATTCACAATCCAAACAGAGGTGATTGCCTCGGATAAATTAAGGACCTGTCTGGACTGTTATTTTCTAGAGTTTTTTTAGAAAATATATTGTAGTTATTTAATATATGTGAGTTAAAAAGGTGTTTAAAAAATATGTTCATAAAAAACCTAATAATCTTTTCTTAGAAAACTACAATCCTAGCGATTTAGTAAAGTAAATTGACTAACCATGATTAATTGCCTACTGATCAAAATTTATTTGGCACTTTGATTTTAGCGTTCAATTTCATTAACTCGTCTATACTTATAATGCAAAATGAGACTATTCTTTGTTATTTTGAAATTTCTTTTATCTTTTATCTTTTACGTTCATTGCTCTTATTACAGAAAATCAGATTTACAAAAAAAAACAGAAAAAAGTTGGTCAATTGCTAATGATGATAGCCATGTGGGTATCAATTGAAACAAAATACCTAAAATTGTCTACAAAAATCACTTTTCTTGCCACAATGGTCAAAATAGCTTCTACTAAAAAAAAAAGAAAATTAAAAGTAAAAACTTATATTTCATTGTTTTTGCCTAATACTACCTAGGAATGTAATCGAGCCAAGTCGAGCTCGAGTATTGCTATATTCGAGCTTGACTCGACTCATATGTATCTAAGCTTGAGCTCGCCTCGAGCTCGATCGAGTCAAAAAAATCGTAACTCGAGACTCAACTCGAAGAACTCCCTTTAAACTTGAGATTCGACTCGATAAAGCTCAATTTTTAGTCAAACCTTATCAAGTCGAGTCTAATCAATCTTTTTGACTCGACTCGAAAAAGCTTCTGAACTTTATTTTCTTTCCTTTTTCTAGATATTTTTTCTTTTTAGGTCTTTTTATAATTATGTTATTATTTTTTTGCCATGATGAAATTTTATTATAAAGAAGAGTATATTGTAAACTCAGTATAAATTATACCCATAACGGTCAATTTATAATTATAATACATATATATTATTTAAATTATATATATTATTTAAATACACCCTGACTCAACGAGTAGTTCGACAAATCTCAAGCCTCAAATTACTGGCTCGAAACTTGACTCGAAGACCAATCGAGTAGCTTGAAACTCGGCTCGAACTCAGTCAAACCGAGTTCAAGCCAAGCCATTGACCGAGCTAGCTCGCGAGTAATTCGGCTCGCGTACATCCCTAATACTACCATGTAATTATAACGTAACTTTAATGGTCAACACCTGTAGCAATACTTTTTATTTAACATTTTTTTCTCAAATTAAAAATCTAAATTTTTTTTTATCATATCTTTAAGAAAAAATTTCTCCAACAAAATAAATAAATAAATGTTTCATTCTCAAATTAACAAAAGAAAATGTCCTAAACTTCGGACTGGCAGGACCAGAAACCAAAGCAATCCGATTTGCCTTGTAAACGAGGAAAGCATCGCTTTCACCTTACGTGTTCCTCATATCCACGCTTTTCTTTTGCGTCTGCAACTCTGCAAAGCATAGAATCACAGCCCACCTCCTTCTCCCACAAGCTAACCCAAAATTTCCCCCCGACCCAGTTATAAATGCCTACACAATCCCTTCCTTCATTTCTCTCAAAACCCTTTTCAATTTCCATCCCAAAACCAACCCAGCTTAGTCCCAAATTAGCAAGTGATTAGTGAAATTTTTAGCATAATTGAAATGAATTTAGCAATGGTTCCGGCCGTGGATAAGTCGGAAATTGCGTTCTTCGATGTGGAAACCAGCGTTCCAACTCGGCAGGGTCAAGGGTTTGCGATTTTGGAATTTGGGGCGATTTTGGTTTGCCCCAAAAAGCTAATTGAGCTGGAGAGTTACTCGACTCTTGTTAAACCCTCTGATTTGTCCCTCATTTCTAATCTTTCTGTTCGGTGTAATGGGATTAGTAGAGATGCCGTGATTTCGGCTCCAACTTTTGCTGAAATAGCTGATAAAGTCTACGGCATTCTCCATGGTTGGCCCCCTATCTTACTTTTCTCGCTTTGTCTATAGAAATTTAGACATGTATTTGGAAAGTTAAGTGCTCTTCTTGTAAATTAGGATTCTTGTTTGTTAGCATTTAGTTTTTGTGGTTTGCTATTTTTATTGTACCAATATAGTTTCTTTAGTGTTGTTGATGAAGGAGCAAAGTTTGAGACTTGAAATGCTGGATTTTTGTGGGGTCTTCTTTGATTTCTGTGAATTGAGCTGGTGAAGAATTTCATTTATACAGGGAAAAAAACGTATTTTTGTACAAAATGCAGTGCTAAAAATACCGAGAAAAGTATACATTTGGTACAAAAGTGGGTCAAAATGCCCTCATAATAAGCAGCCCCCAAAATTGTGCGCTTTCTAGCAATCAAGCGTTTATGGGTGCCTCTTTCACTAATTGTGGTATTTTGGGGTCATTTGTGGATATTTTAGCTCGATGTTTTGTGATCATAGGGAGTATTTCAGTGGACAAGATTTTGATTTGAAACCTTGAGAATGTAAAGTTCATCATTGTGTGTGTTTCTGAGATCGTTGGGATTATGATGAACTGACTTTTAATTGTTTTGTTTTTCTATACAGGGAGGATATGGGCAGGGCACAATATACTAAGATTTGATTGTGCTCGGATTAGAGAAGCTTTCGCCGAGATCGATAGGCCAGCTCCGGAGCCCAAGGGAACTATTGATTCACTGGCATTGTTAACACAAAGATTTGGAAGAAGAGCTGGTGACATGAAGGTGCAATTAT